AAACCTTTTGAATAATAAATTTATATTTATTAGATGAAAAAATATAGTAAAAACATGAATATATGTGTGTGTGTATATATATAATACAAGATTAGTATATATATTATATAATATAATTTTTATACAATAAATAATATAAATTTTATAATATTAAATAGATATTATTAGTGTATTAAAAAAAAGAGGAAAATGCAGTTAAAAAGAAATAAAAGAAAAAAATGATTTTATGTTTATCTTTATTGTATAAAAATATATTAAATAGTAAATTTATTAAAAAAATTATCTTTATTAGCTAAACATATTCTTTATAAGGTCACTTTTTTTTTTACTATTTTTGAATAAATATTATATTTTCTTATCACATCAACACTACATCATTAATCCATGTCATCACTAGAACGTGACTTCATTAATCAAGTCACTGAAGTAATATATCATACTATCATCTATTAATGGTTCAATTGTTAAAAGAGACTAAAATTATACAATTTTAAAAAATAAAAGATCAAAATTACATATCAAAGATTATAGAATCAAAAGTAAAATTTAGAAGAAAAAAAAAACTAGTATCTCACTAGATGATAATTTATTACACAAGTCGCCTTATTTATACAACTTTATATATTAATTTGTCACAAGTTAAACTAAATTAACATTTACATAAAATTAACCAAATATTTAATCACATTATAATAATTTGTTAGCCATAAATAAATTATTGATTGAATTAATTGAACATTTAATTAATATAAAACAATAAAAACTAGTTATTTTTCTTAACTAACTTATATTTTTTTCTTTTTATTTTATATCAATCCACAATTTTAATTCTTATTTTAAAATAGATATATTTAATCCATCTGATTTTAAAAATATAAAATTTCACCCTATCATCAATTTTGATATATATTTACGGTTAAATTTTAACGTTAACCTTATAATCTATCATTACTACTTAAGTGAGAACATTGTCTTTCCTTCAAAAATTAAAAGAGTGACAACATTTCCTGATTTAACATTACGTGATTGAAAAATTATATATATAAAAGTTACAAAATACTATTTATGCCATACCTACATGTACAACAAACTGGCTACACAACAAAGAATGATTTAATGCAAATTACATTAACATCCCATGGTTTCTCAAAATTTTACAACACAGCTCCACCTATTTTATTTTACAAGATGCAAGAGTGTCGTGTAAAATTTTAAAAAAACTAGTGTTACAGTAACTTCCCAACTCATAGATACACTAACTAATCCTAAGAGTCTAAAGAAAACTAATTCTAAGAGGACCACGTCCTCATAAACTGTGCATACACCTACATTTACATGTGCCAATAACGGTTATAACACTGATAATATAACTACCAAATTAATAACAGGCACATTTTCAGTTTTTCACCAACATAACAGTCAAAAAGATAAGATACGTTGTATAATTTTCCACGTACCCTCTGTTAGGGTAAAAAAAAAAAGCAAAGAACAAATACCATATTTGATTATACAAAAAAAAATAACAAAATGATGCACTTTAGGCAAGACTAAAGGCATTGACCTAAAATTGTTATCACAAATTATTTAACACTTGTGTTCTTTTCTCAAAAATTGAAATTCAATTTCTATCTTAAATAGAGTCACAACTAAAAAGATAATTTTACCCTTTAAATAAGCCGATCCGATGGAAGGAAATTATACCTCGGGGTTATACCAAAGATGATGTAGAGATGAAACACCAGGCGTTTAAAATATTTTTCATGAAATGAATTGTTTATGTCCTAAAATTTAACATCTAATAAATTAACTCCATGCTTCCATCACCTCACTCCACAAGCATATTAACCTATTTTAGCTCAGCAAAAGCCTGAGAAGGCAAACCAAACAAGAACTATTTTTTCCAGGTTGTATGAAATGCAACTACAACATATATTTAACACTTTATCAGGACATACAACATATTTCAATTCTCATGCATAACAGAAAAAAGAAAAAATATGTTTTGGTTTTCTTACGATAAGAACACCTAAATTCACAAGTGCTACTAGTAATCAGGTAACATTCATGTACAAAACCTACACCCACATTTGTAGAATAGTCAAGTGCTGTAATCTTGGAAATAACCATCAAGTATACTGAGTTTCTTTTCTCAGTGCCCTCCTGGATTCCTGTTCCATGATAAATATGTGGGGTCTCCAAGTTGCCTACAAATACAGAATAATAAGTTAGAAATTGGCAATAATAACTCAAAATTGCCACTTCAAGTTGAATTTTAATCATCCTACAAGAGATGGTTTGTTTAAGCATTAAAAGAAATAGTGACCTCTAGCAAACTCTAGAAAACAAGATTTCACAAGTACACAGAATTTGCAACACACTGAACATACAAGCCCTAAAATATTATTCAGGTTTTAATCAAATTGACTATATAATCAATCAGAGTTGGAAAGGAAGAAGGGGTTGGAATTAAACGCTCGGCCTAATACTCCAATTAGTCTAAGGTCTAATGACCTGCTGTGTGTACCAACTTTGCTGGTAAGAAGTCACAGAACCAAGAATTTAAGTTCCATGTGCTGGTATGAAACAAATGAACACATCCAAACCCATTTTTGGTCAAACAAAAAAGCAATAAAATTAGTAAGCTCGTGAAGCTACCCCATGAATTTCTCTGCAACCCCATGAATGCATCCAACCCAATTCTTGGTCGAACAAAAAAGTAAAAAAATAAGCAACAAAATTCGTATGCCTACAAAAGCTATCTCATGAATATTCCTGCTACAGAAGGGGCTTTCACGATCTGAACTCTAAAGCATCAAGATTTAAAGTATTTTTACCTTGGCTTGACAAAATATACAATGGTAAAAGCCAAAGCCAAAAAGAAGCACAATCCTCCTACAGTGAGATATGCAATGCCAAGGAAGTCATTCTTCCCACCAAGCCAGCTAGTAGTTGACAGTACAAGCTTTTTCCTGCCATTAAAGCTGTATGTGTTATATTTATTCTGCAGTGTTACATTTATGCTATCACCTTCATTCAGATCCACCTCGATCTTTCCATATAACTTCCTAAAAGTAGGCAAAGCAGCAGTTCGCATCCAGACAATAAGATCCTCCTGTTCACTCAACTGTTCCATAAAACATTAGAAAAAGTGAGCAATATAATCCACTGATTGACAATACTTCAACCAATCACAACATCTAGAGGAGAATATACTGGAAGTAATTGAAAATTTGAAATGAAACTGTGAAACAGGTATGTGGAACAGTGGAATAATTTGCCATGTGAAAAGTCATTACTATATGTACAACATGAATATTGATAGAAGTAGTAACAATAATAGCAGCAACAACAACAACAACAAATAAACCCAAACATGCAAGCATGACAAGCACACGCAAGTGTAAACAGGATAAAATCTGATTACAATGCTGAACCTTGTGAAGAAAAATAATTATACTTTAGGATAGAAGTTTAATCCAATCAAAACAAAAAAGTTCATGAAAATACTCACTGGTATGGATTCATTGAGACTTGCACCACCTTTAATAGAACTGTTCTGGAAGTTTTTAGGGAAAACATTTTTCCCAAATTTGTGCTCTCTATCACTTTTCCAGGAGATGCCCTTCTTGTTCACCGTCAAATTATGGTTGTCACGAGAGAAGCTGTACGTGTCATTGAATAAACTCCAAGCTATAAGACCACATGGTACAATTGCCTTTCCATTGGCTGTATCTTCAGGCTTACAAGCACTTGTTGAGTCCTCTTCACCAGGATCCCTCAATTGCTCATCACTTCGACTTTTAACATATCTAAATTATACAAATTTTCCATGATTATAAGAAAATACACAATCAAACATAACAAAACCCATTATAATAAATATATTAAGACTGAAAACAGTTGAAGAAAACAAGCAAAGACGTCAGAGAGATATACTACAATAAATTTGACGTGAATACAGGATAAAAAAAACAGATGTATGGAAGTCTCTAAATTTCATCCCACAAATAGTAATAGGTTATCTTTTACAATTACCTACAGTTCTAGAAGTTAGATAACAGAATCATAGTTACAACTTTAAATATGTATAATAGTAGCTTTGATACCGTAAAAAAGGTTTTTGTCAATTTTGATGCTAACTTGTAAATGAACTTCATGCCAGTTGTCAAATAATTTATTTATTTGCCTTTTTTCCACTCTAACTTGTATGTATCAACAAGGGAAAACAGAGACATAGCTCTAACTTGTATGATTTAAAATTTTATGAGTACCAAATGCCACCCATTCATTTTTTTTAAGTGAGTTGTCACATTGTAAATGGCCAAAAACATGTTGAGGCACCAGTAATAAGCAATGCTGAGATTTAAAGCAAGGCAACATTTGATTTTTAAAGTAATTAAGACAAATAGCACTGGCTGGAGCACAACCATCAATTTCAATGTAGAATGCTTGAATAATAAATATATGAAAACCCAAAGTAATTATGTGTGGGTGTAACTTTTTGCTAGACATAAATATTATACTTCTGACAAAATATAGAGCAGAATAATTACTATCTGCAAATTGGGTGACTATAGAGGCATTTTGCAGCATAGCAGCCTCTATCTGCCACAAGTTCACCAAAGCATAATGCTTTTTATGCAATTGCTGCTAAGTTTGCAGCTAATCTCAGCTTTAGAAACACTACCCCAATTGCCCAGCCAAATTTTAGGGAGGACTTGGCAATTCCACACCATTTTCTACTTAAAAAATATTTTATGGTGTAATGAGGCTTACACAAACTGAAACACAGCAACCAGAGATAAATGTAACATTGTAACTAGATCACACAGCCTGATCTTATTATGAAATGCATGCAAATACAGATAAATCCCATAACAAAAGTGTCATCTTAGACATGTGAAGAAGTAACAAGGAAATGCAGAGAACAAAGAGAGGAGAAGACAGATTCCAGGCATAGAAGAAAGGAGAGAGGTGATTCAGATTCCACTTATGATTCTTCATACCCCCCCTTTTCCTCCTGTCCACTTATCCCTCCTCCAATTAGGCAAGTCCCTCCAGGGGAAGTTAAGTTAGATCTGTGGGACGCCAGTGCTTCTGTTCAACTCCACCTCTTGGCTCATTTTAACCTAATTAAAAATGAGGAAGAATGCCTGCAAACTTGACTTCATATATTAGTCTTAAAACTAAAACCAGCATGTCCAGACCAAAAGGCCAGCAACCCTTTCTCCAATATTTTAGTTTTTGTCTTGTTCAGTTGATTAGGTTCTCATTATTTTCTATTATTAAAAGTAGAATTTTTGTTTTATTTTTTGCAACATATATGCACTGAAAGTTGAGAACTTCATTACTTATCATTGTGAATCTGTGATATTTTAGAAATTATGTACTATAATACTATTGTTTATCATACTTTGTTACCATGGTATGCTTTATTATGATGTTGGAATGTTAGATTTTCATTGTTTTAACGTATTATATTTTGTTCAGATACTATGATTATACATTTTTAATATAGTTTTAAAATAAGTAATCTGGTACCAGTTTTCGACTTGTGTTTACAAGGCTAGACTACCGAGATCCATGAGTTTATCTAAATTAACGAAGTTGACAACCGTGCTTGCACAGTGCATGGCCTAGCCACATATACTTCACCAAATAAGTTGGCCAGTTAACCATTTTATCCTCTATATCAGTAGGTGCCATAACATAGGTTTACAAACTCTTCAACCTTCAAGAAAACCTAACAGGCCCACCTCCATGTTTGTGTGTTCACAAGCAGCCCAGCATCCCCATCATCTGTTTGAACATTTTCTAGCCATATTTCCATGAATTTTCCAACCAAAGCAGCTCATTTTCTGCAAACCTAGCTTCCATTTACAGGTCTCAACTCAACTCTGTCCAAGATGATATTTACATGCCACAGTACTTTACCCGTCTTTGCTCCACCTTTTTAGTTTTGTTCATGCACCAATCATGCATGGGAAATTTGTTTGTGAAGTGGCATGTTATACCATAGGTTCTACTTTATCGAATGGAAGACAAAGCCACCTGCTTTATTTTCTTATATATATATATATTGTAGATTTTTTAAATTACTATTTTCATTTATTGTTTGTTCCTTAGACATGTTATTTTTGGTTTTCCCTTTGGATTTTACTAACTGTAGTGTACAATAAAAAATAAATAAATATGTTTGTGACCTGATATAAAATTATATAATTAGTATGGCTATGGTACATATTATCTCAAAAATAGTTTTGATCTTTTATGTGTAAAAGATGTATAGATTCGAATAAAATCAATCTATTTATTTACCAAAAAAATGACTAGTTTCATATATTTCATAAATACTTTTCTGAGTAAATCAAAATTTAAGTTAGTATTTTCATCTTGTCATGATTTTAAGATAAATTAGATACATTAAACTATAAATTAAATATAAAATATCTACAAATATTATCAGTGAAGAATGTGTCTTATGTTTCGAGTATTTTTTGAGTTGAGTATCTATGTGTATTAGAAACTATATGCACTATATCCATTATTTTGGTGTAAGGATCACATTAGGATGGCAGTGGTAAATAGTGAGGCAGTAAATGGTAGGCAACATAATTTCACCATATGCTAAGGTGTATGCAAGAAAGAATATGAAAAATAGGAATGACATGGGTGAAATGTGTGGCATGAGTGTGAGCAGTTGGTCTTGTGACTAACTTTGCTGGCTGGCAAGGTTAGAGAGAGCGTCTGAGCAAATACTGATCCTGTTATAGGCTGAACGGGTGGAATATAGGGTTTGGGAAAGATGCTGTGGGGGTTATTGCAGAATTTGGAAATAGACTCTTGGGAAAGAATTAGTCTCTTGTCTACCTAGTAAGCCTTGTATACATTTCCTTTCAGTTTATGAATAATACACAGTAAGGGAGGAGGTAGATACTACACTGGTATCTGTTGATTCAGTTCTACTCCTCAATATTCAGTGACATTCTTCTCTTATTTCATAATTACTGTTTACTGATACCAGCTCTTACAGATCAGTCTGCAATCTGCTATACGCCTATACCTATATCTATACCATTATGGTATTTTCAGGGTTGGCTTCACCACACTGCTATCCAGGATTTACTGACTATGATATATACTATAAAGTAAAACTGGAAATTAATTTAACATTGGGTATATAAAATTTCATTAAACTTTTAAAAAGAGTTAAGAGAATAGGCTTGAGAGAAGCTTTGTAAATGAAAAAAGGTGTAAAAGCATCAGTTTCAGTGAAGTCCCCCTTCCAATAAAAAAATATTTGTCAAGAACGACTGAAGAAAGGATCAGGGAGATCCTTGTTTTCTAAAACCACACTTTTCTCTCATTTTGTAAATTAGGAATTGAAACAGAAAGAATGCGCAATAATGCATAAGAAAAAAGGGTTATTACATACCGGCGATGATTCTGGTAGAAGTTGTCAAGCTGATAGTAGACATAAATAGGTGACTTCATGTGCTTTTCCACCTTTTCAAAACATAAGTTTAAGAATAGATTGCCTCAATTTGACCTCCATTAATTATCAATTTATGGGAACAAGATTAACAAAAGGATGACAGTTAAATGAAATAGACAACCCGATGTCAAGGAGACTTACATGTAGTGAAAATTTGCATGTTTTATCTGCAGAACTCTGAATGTATGCCACCTTGTCAGTAACGTTGGGTGGTATGCATTTTGATTCATACCTATAAACAATTTCAACAACCTGATTGATACAAGAAAATAGAAGTTGTAATCAGCATTATATCCAACCATAAGCATAAATTCTACATATTATAGCACTCAACAGTCAACATTACCTTCCTTGAAGCAATCAGTGCAGCAACTCCAATAGGAACAAATACAACACTGACAAGCAAGAATGCCGAAATAACCTGCAAGGAAAAACTTAAATTAAGTACAAGCTATACCAACACAAATAAATACTCAAAGATGCATTCAGGTACACATAAAATCATGAGCAACGTATTCCAAAAATGTAGTGGGTAATGTTACCGCTCGTGGCGTGAGAATTGGCTTACACGCTGGAAGTTCTTGCTGGGTAAACTTCGAATCTGAAAGGCATTAAATTTTCAAAGAGAACTCTTGTCAGTTCAGTTTTTCTGTAGGTACCCAAAAAGACAAGATCACACACTGCCCAACTGCATAGAACTCTTCCATTAGTTCAACAAACAACAAATATGGACAATAGAAGCTCTTTTTTATTTTTCTTTTCTTTTCTTTTCTTTTATCAGTGGAAATTACAATGACAGCAACAAAACTAAGACCTAGTACCTTCTCCAACCCCACCACTAGAAGCTTTATAAACACAAATACCACCTCCCAAAAATTCAAATTAAATTAAATAAAAAAAACGGATATTAGCTACCACAAAGTGTCATTTCTTGATGAAATAGAACCCCAGCAAAGGGTACCTTTACCTAGGCATTATCAATCACTTAATACTAACACATGAAAACCTCTACAAACCCTATTCTTCCTATCAAACACCCAATTTAACCCAAATAAAAAAAATAAGAAATTTCCATCATAGACCCAAAAATTGAAGAAAAAGGAAAAACGGGTCACTGAAAAATGAGCTCGGAAGGCCAAAAACAAGGAGAGATCAGAGTGATTCGAAGAGCATTACACTTAGGTCGCTTGGTGTTGTTTCTCCTGGCAGCTGTGGGATCGGTGGATCCAGCACCGGCTGCGCTGGAAGACGCCATTTTCAGAATCGGGATTGATCAGAGGCTTTTGTTGGATTGCGAAAACCGTCGAAATTTGAGAGAGAATGGGAATTGGGGAAAGTGGGTGTGAGAGTGTGTGATTGCAGAGAAAAGGGTTAGGTTGCTTTCCCTTTCTCTCTCTAAGTTTGGTGTGGAATTGAAGAAGAAAGGAGAGAGAAACACAGAAGAAGAAGGCCAAGGTAACACAAACTAACAAAGAGAGTCAAACAAACAACTACAAATGCAATTCCGCACCTTTTTCATTTTCCTTTTGATGCTTTAGGCCAAGAGTGGAGAATGAATTTCTCTTTTTTATATTTTTAAAACAAAATTAACAAATAATAAATAATACTAATACTAATTTTGTTTAAAAATAACAAATTCTCTTTTTTATTTTTTTATTATATATTTTTGGTTGCTATAGATTTTTTTTAATTCGGGAAATATGAGATTTTCTTTTTATAAAAGTAAATATGAAATTTAATTTTTTACTTTCATATCATTTTCTTAAGTTTCGCTTTATAATATTTTAACTCAGATAAGTCTAATTAAATATTATTTTCACCAAATATCAAACTCGATAATTTAAGTATGTTTAACTTAAATTTAGATTTATATAATATAGTAAAAGTGATTTTTATGATGTCCTCATTAATAAATTTATCACTTAAATCATTAAATAATCTAGATGAATGTCACCAAAACACACTTCTAATTTTATTTAAACTCATTTTTCTAGTTATTTAAATTTATTAAAAAACACAAAAATTCGTGGATTCTACATCCTATTTAATAATTACCTTTTATAATTTTTTTATTATTTTTAATAAATTGTAATCAATAAAAGAAGATATACGAAAGAATGTTACTACTTGCTAATATTCTCTCACCATTCTTTTTGAGTTATAATATAAATATTATATTATATATAATACTATTACATAAGTTAGCGATATTTTAAAAATATTTATTTAATGTTAAATTTAATTTAAAATTAATAAATAATATAATTATATAACAACAAATAAAGAAATTGTGTAATTTATTATTTAATGTATTTTTTTTCACAACAAATATAAACATTGAATCATTTTTTTCTTTCATTTCTTTTTTAGTTATATTATTTTCTCATTTTGTGAACATTGTTATATTATTTGTTTTAATATTATAAAATTTATATTATTTATTATATAAAAATATATTAAAGTATAAACATACTAATATAAGACATTAAAATATTTTTAAATCATACAATATTACTTTATTTATTATTTAAAATAATTTATCAAATAAATAATATACATTTTACCATGTTAAAATAAATAATTTAATATTAGTACTTATTTTATAAAATTATATTAAATAATAAATAATTTGTTTATTGAAATTTATTTTTTATTATTATAAGAATTTATTATTTATTAATTTTAAATTAGATTTAACGTTAAATAAGTGTTTTTAAAATACAACTAATTCATGCACTAATGTTATACATAATATAATGCAAAATATTAATGATTTAATGGTTTAAGTGGTAGATTTAACAACGAGATCACGGTTGGTCATCATGAAACCACTTTCGTCATGGTTTCTAAATATCATATTTCTTAGTTATGGATGGAGTAAAAGGTATAAATGTATTTCAGTTTTCTTAGAATAGTGGATTAAGCCTAACTCAACCTTACAAAATCAGCTTGTAAGTGAGGGTTTTTCCACTTATATACTATTCAATTGCTTAATTTCTAGTCGATTGCGACTTGGATTTTTTTTTGGATTTTTCTCAATACACCCTCTCACGTCCAGCACTATTGGGTTTGGTACGTGGATAAATAGTGGGTGACCCCTTTTTTAATGATCTAGGATTGGTGGAACTTGAGTTTTTCTCAATACACTCCCTCATGCTTATGGTGCATGTATCAATGGTGGGCAGTCATTTTTTAAGGATCTAGGATAGCTCTGATACCATCTTAGAATAGTGGATTAAGCCTAACTCAACCCTACAAAACCGGCTTGTAAGGTGAGAATTGTTTTCCACTTATATACTATTCAATTTTCTAATTTCTAGTCAATGTGGGACTTGAGTTTTTCCCAATAAATTTGAACAAAACTAACTTCTCTTAAAAAAGGTTACTTTACTCCATCCACACATACTCTTTCTCAAGTAATTCAATGCCACTCTGAACCCTCATGACAGAGACAAATCTGACCAAACATTATGTTAGAAGTATGAACAAATTAAAAAATTTGAAGTTGATCATTACTTGTTGATTAATGTAGGTTTTCAAAGAACTTGTTCAATTGAAATCTGACCATAATCCCTTTATTTGTGGAACTTGTTCACAATGGGTTGCCTAATAGGAGAATAAAACATTTTCGGTTTCTTAGCTCCTCGGTAACACATGAAGAAGATTTTGATCATTTCAAAAGAGAATTCAAGATGTTTAGAGATTAAAAATATATTTAAATAAAAAAATTAAAGCTTCACTTTTTTGAGTAAATTATCTTTTTTTAAAAAAAATCATCTAAAGTTCAAATTGTAATTTTTATTATATATTCCATTATATTTAATTACTAATTTTGTTAGTTTTATAATGTATATCTTTTCTCTCAATTAACATAGAGAATCATTATTACTAAGTTCTTTCCCACTTTTATTAAATGAGTTTTGTAATTCAATAAATATATAGTAGAAATACTCATTTTCAATTGATGTATCTTTGCTTGAAATATTTTAAAATGATCACTCATTTTGCTAAATTTAAAATTTAATAATTTAGAATTTATAATCCTAAACTTGTAGCAACAATAAATTAATGAATTAAGGGGGTGTATTGGTTTAGGATTTCATTAGATTTTAAAAGATTTTTTTTTAAAATAAAAAGTTTATTGGTATTTAATCAGATTTTATATCACTTAAAAACAATCCAATAATATTCAATATAAATTTTCAAGATTTTTTAAAGAATCTATTAAAATTTATTGGTATTTATTTGAGACTTTTTACAACTTAAAAACAATTCATTGACATTCAAAATATAAAGATTTTTAAATGATTATTGTATTAGAGAGATTTTGAAGGACTTTTTAGTGATATCTATAAATACCAAATTCATAAAAGAATCTCTTCCAAACTCATCAATTTTTGGAGGATTGTTTGAACTGACTTTTCAAATGCTTCAAGAATTTTCAAGTGAATTTTTCATCTTTTTTTCTATGTTCCTGTCTTCTCCATTTTTTTCTTGCTAATAATATTGCACTATTGCTTATATATAATATTATACTATTGTTCTCATTCCATTCCCCTATTTGGTGAAACCCCGTAAATGAGAGTATCATTGACTTGTTCTATTTTTCTCTTTATTATCTTCAATTGACTTGCTCTATTTTGTTATATTTAGTTGAGTTTGTTCCTCAGATATATAATATAGAAAACACTTAAAATTTCAACTTTTAAGTAGTAATTTTTTTTATAACACACGTCAAGAAAAAGGAAAAGTGAAAGTTGAAATTGATATCATGATCTCTACAATCGACTGTAGATCTTCAAGACCTTGTAATTAATTTAGATCTAAAGGTCTTTACCATTACCATAGTTAACTAGGACCTTTAACGGTTGAGTTTGAGATATTTGTCTATATCTTATAGCATTTTTTTAAATGAACAAATGGTTGTTTAAATGTCTAAAATATAAAAATAATAAGGTATACCCTATATATATATATATAGTAGTTAAGCCTTTTACAAGAATATAGTATTGTTCTTAATTATATAGGTACCTATTAGGTGAGATATAAATTTAATAAGTATTTTTATCCATAATTATTTATATAACTAGTTTCCAACATATGTTGGTTTACTAATTCAAATAGGAGGAGATTTACAAGGAAATAATAAAGAAAAAGGAAAAGAGAAAGAAAACTATGAAGCTTGGACCAAGGAGGATTCTGATGAATTTTTACAACTGATAGTGGATTCTATAAAAAGTGGATTGTGTGATGCTAATGGGTCAATTAGCAAACTAAATGCGGAGAGAGTCATCCTTCTTCGTCTCAATGATAAATTAAATTTTCTAAAACATATAATCATTACTTAAGTTGAATGAAGTGGTTTAAGAAACAACATAACAATATGTCAACACTTATGCACAACAATTCTAGCTTTGGGTGGGAACCAATTACAAAGACATTCACTGCTAGTGATGAAGTATGGAAAGAGTACTTAGAAGTGAGATTACTTCGTAATATTTTAAATATATTAATAGTTTACAATTATATGAATGATGGAGAAGGAAGGAGGAGTGATTGGAGTTCTTCTCCTTAGCTTCTCCTATGCTCGGATCCTCTTCAAGGAGACTTGAACCAAAGGTAAGAACACTTTATTGGAGGAAGATTTTCGGATCTAAGGTTTCCTAGGCTATGGATGGAAGCATCCAAGCTTAAGGAACAAAGGAAAGCTCACTTCAAAAGGGAGAAAACCTAGCTAGGGTTTCTAAAAAGTGATGGCTCTCTCTTGGTGACTTTTGGACGAAATTTGGCTGAAGTAAGCTCTCAAATTTCATATATGTCAAAAGTGAATACAATGAGTGAAGGAGGAAGCTTAAATGGATCCGGAATTAGGGACACTTGGCGCCAATGTGGAGGCTTCACATGTGGCGCCAAATTTTGAATTCAAATTTTGAATTTGAATTCAAAACTTAACTCACATGTGCAAGTCCGGTTCACATTGATGCTAGGTGTATTTAGGTTTGATTTAGTGTGCATTTAGGGTTGAATTTGAGTCACACATGTTCAGCCAAGGTGGCACCATCCATGTGACTCAAAATGCAACTTAAATGCATGCTAAATTAAACCTAGTTTTTCCTAATTCACTTAAACTAATAATCCTCCTTAAATCCTAATCTAATGACCTAAATACAATGGTCAATCAAATACAATGAATAGGAAAAATTACAAGAATGAAAATGAGCCCAATATTGGGTACCAAAAGCCCAAAGGCCCATGAAGCCCAAAACTAAGCCCAATAAGCCTATGGCCCAAAAATGCTACTCTATGTGGTCCAAAATACAAGACCAAAATATGTGAAACCTATACTAATATAATATGTACAAAATATAAGAAAAATGGATTTATTAAGAGATGGCCCATGTGAAGCTCAAATTGGGCCTTCCAGGCCCATCGGGCCCATTGGGCCTTGACTGGCCCAAACCTTCATGTCTAGCCAATTCCTCTTGTCTCCTTCAATGTGTCACCCCTTGCCTTCCTAGGCATGA